CAACCTTGCTCTCTGACGCTATATTCTCAAGGTTTCCTGCACTGTATGCTTGTGTCTGTCCTATTGCTGAATTATGTAGTGATAATGCTACATTTCTTGTGTCTGCAGATGGTCTGTGGGTAAGCGGATTGCAGAGGTTCGATAAGCAACCGGAATACACAGAGGTAAACCCTGGAGAGGACGCCCTTATGACCTGTAAAGTGTTCAACAAGAGAGGAACCTGCTCCTGGCAAAAAGATAATAAGGTAGGTCATGATACAGACATGTACGCTAGCAGTAGTCTTATACGATGTTAAGCAGAAGGTTAGCACTCCTGCTGTGAATTCCGAAGGTTACGGGAGTCAGATCACGGCCAAGATGTGGCTGTATTTACAGCTTTTACAAGGTTGTCTTAGTTCTAATTGGTAGGCGTTGTTGATGTTATTTCCGATGTATTTTTTTTTTCGATTACGCCGTTTTGCAGTTAACGAGATCTCTGTAACATATGAAGTTTTCACAGCGGTGAGTATGAAGATTTCTGTTGTGGCTCTGCGTCGCAAAGAAGCGTCGGTGAAAACCTATATAATTTATGTGAACCCTTAACACAGAGTAGTCACTGCTGTAACAAGTTGACCGAGCATGAATCCAGTGTCGAGATCAGCATGTCTGAAACAGGATAAGAATTTGACGCAATAACACGCCTGCCTCTCAATTTTTCTAGAAGTTAGATGCCAAGGAAGACTTCTTGAAAACGAAACATAATTTGTGATTTTATATTTGTTACGTAAAATCTGTCGTGTTGATGGAAGCAGTAGTGACCTCTAAAACGGTGGCAACATTTTACCAAAAAAATCGGCGCTGCAACCACCCTCATACTCGCCGCTTTGAAAATCTCGAATTCTACTTTTCTGTTGCTTTTACCACTCAATTTTGCATTTCGTTTTGATAATGTCGTTACGAACTTCACAAAATTTAGGAATGAACATTTTTTAAAACTAGGTAGTAGCTGTCCACTTTAGTTTACTTTTCATATCACTAAAATAATAACAATAACAGTAATATATACGCTTTTAATACAACCATGAATGTTTACAGTAATTACACCCCACCAGTAAGAATGCTGCGACCTTCAACACACACACACACACACACCTGCTGCGGATTTCACGGAAAACACTGCCATCGACATTAACATATGAAAGCGTTCAAGCGGTATGAATAAAGCTTATATTGATTAACGATTAACGTAACAGTTACCGTTTGATCTTGGGTGTAACCAGAGGCTTAATTGCTCTGTAAAATAAAAATGTTTGGAACATTTTTAAACATCTCGTAACTACACCACAGTACTTCACAACCAACATCGCAAGCAACTATATACGTGTGTGTCAATAGATTGTTAGCATTTTGACGGATTCTATACCTGCTAGCCCTCCCTACCTACTGCAACGCTTCAAAGCCACCCGAGTCTTTAATTGTGTTTATGTTTTCCCAGTTCTTAAAATAGATGATGAATGTTTCGGACATTTTTGTTTGGTGGCACGGTGCCAATCAATGTGTCTCTTGGTGCCACGTTTGACACCGACATCAATATTTTCGAGCCCTGAAAGAGGATTCAGGGCGTGGATCGGATTAAGGTATGGTCATTGGCATGATTTCGTTAGCATTGTAATGAACACGCGAGTTTTATAAGAGTCTTGGACTGTTTGATATCCTGGGCGACTATCAACATCTCAAGGACAGTTCGGCAAGCTTTGACTTTAGTTATACCTCTTGGCTCTTAAATGACATCTAAAAGTCACTTTCGTAGTAATTTGCAGAAATAATACATTGTCACGTCTGTACACAATTTCATGATGTGCTGTTCGTAGCAATTAAGAACACAGAAACATCGGCCCATGTGCATAAGAAGGAGACGATGTTAACCGTGTTAAATATGAAGCAATTAACGTGTTTAATTTTCCTTGTAATCTTGGCTCTAGAAGTTGTGAATTCAATTCAGTTTCTAGCTTCCACTAATTATAATAGTACTCTGTACCGTAAAGACTTTTCCCACTTTTGTGGCTAACTAATTAATTTGTAACATTTCGTGTTCACAGACAGTAAATTACGTATTCAATAAAATATTTTACTGTTTATGTTTGCAAAACACAGAGTAATGCTATATGTGAATAGGATTAAATATCGTACATTTATACGAATTAACAGGCAGTGAATGTTTCATACGTTGTATACTGTGAGTATTATGCTAATTATACTTAGTATTATATTAATTTACGTTTCTCTAATCCCCTGTGAGATCCAAGTCTAGTTATAGCGAGGATTGTTATTTCAGTACACGTGTGTGTTTGCGTAAAAGTAACATTATTTTCCTTCGTACCGTCTTGTGCTTTATCTCTATCGGCATTTTCATTTTATTCCTTCACAGTTCTTTAACTTCTTCCTGTCTTCCTTTTATCTTCTCTTTTCGTACTCACCCTCTGTCCTGTTCTGATGGGGAACAAAACTGTTGCCGTACGGAATTCTGAGCTGGGATCAAACAGCCGTTTTGTTTACAGTAAAATATTTCTTTTATATTCCTCCACTCTTCGTGGTCTGAGCTGGCGGTAAGCTACTAGCCAGAGTACAGCGTACGTAACTGAAAAAGTGATAGTGGAACCACGGTTTCGGAGAATTAGACGTAAATACGTCTATACGGAAAGGAAGTTTATATATTGGCTTTATTCTAAATATTTCCTTTATACATGCTTTATAATTGCATAAAGTTTGATTAAGACATTGCTTATTTAACTTGAATTAGTTACGCGTAAGATGGGTCTGTGGTAGCTGAATGTAATGTAAAGTAATGTAAGGTAAGGTAAGGTAATGAAATGTTTTATAGGTAACAACAATGCTAAGTAAACAGATGACGTTTCCTTGGTAACAATAATGCCGAGTAAACAATTGACGGTTGCTAGGTAACAATAATGCCGAGTAAACAACTGACGTTTCCAAAGTAACATAACAATGCAGTTACATTTTTTCGTTTCGCTTTTTGCCGAATGACACTGACCCGAAAATATAGACGTATTTACGTCAAAAAAATGTACTTCAAGTGTACAGAACCGACAGTGTCAATAAGAATTGCGTTCAAGAAGAAATAAAAAGCTGGTTAAATTAGTGATTGCTCTCTTCCAGCCATTTAAGAATGTTTTATTCTCCTGTCTCCTACATAAACCCTATTACATACAAATATGTAATTTTATCTTTTGCATTTTATGGACATAACAATTGGTCTTCCGCCCTGACGGAATAACAGACATTGATGTTGTGTGAGAGGTAATGTGCTGAGGGAAGTGTATGGACCTAACAGAGAAGGGGTGACAGGAGGATTAAAAAAAATAATTCGGGGCTTCATATGACACTTTTTAATTTAGCCATCTTATCAACAGTATGAGAGTGGTGTGAATTGTTATCTCATAAGTAATTTTCTGTCTGTTTTATGTAATTATTGTTCTGGCAATTTGTTTCAGAAACGTTGGTAATTCTGTCATTTTTCTCACAAGAAAGTGTTATGTTTTACAGTTTTGTCTTCACTTTCTGCTCAGATAGGAGCATTTCAGTTAAGGTAGGCCGTATAAAGATTATGACGAATTGTATAAGCACATACATTTTCTTTCACCATTTCATATGAGCACTGGCCCCAGTTGTGTGGCATAATTATATAGGCCGAAATTCCCCCTTTTTATTAATAAGCTTTCTTTGAATTCTGGCAGATTTGCCTCTCAACACGGAGGCATGCAACCGGAAACGAAGATATCGGTTCGCTTATATGGCAATAGTCCTTTTAATTTAAACTCAGAAGTCATTTAATATTTATATTATAATTAGGTGAAGAGATTATTTTAACCTTCTCCTTACTCATACTTTCAGCAGAAAGACATTATTTTGTTACTTATATTTATAATAATTTTAATTAAGTTTGCTGAATGATGTAAGCTAAATATTTTGTAGGAATGCGGTATATTGTTTTCATTAATGACACGCTAAATATATATATGTTATAGGTAGACGATGTATCTCTCATGTCTGTAGCATGAATAGTTTCAACTTCAATCAGCAGTAAATTAATTGGAACTTTTTAACATTTTCCATAAGTTGGTCAAAGTGTTTTTTCTCACAAAATTAACTTATACTCTCAGTAGCGAAATTTAAAATTACGTTTTTGTAGGTTGTGACCTTCAGAATGAATTCTCTCAGTGTTCGTTTTTATTAATCCGACGTATATTTTGTCATAAAAATGGAAAAAAATTATTAGTTTTCTTATAGTTCAGGTATTTAATTTATTGTGCTCTTTCAACACATAACGATCGGAATTTATTTTAATGGCGTATTTCTGGTTTTTTGCTTGTCGTTTAATTTGTATGCTGGTAGCTGCTGCAACATTCGACAAGAACGAGGCGTATAAACGAGAACTTTAAAAATATACATATCAAAGTTCTGTACTTTGAAACGAAATGTATTAAATGTAAGCATGGTTCTTATTCGCTTATTTATTTATAGCTTAAGGACCGTCTCACTGGCTTAAACAATATTATAGTAGTATGATTTAAAAAAGAATAATTAATAGTAAAGGGTATGGAAGGAAATGTTTTCGGCATAATGTAAGGTGCCATACAGACATTTGCTTGGGGTAACTGAAAAGCCACGAAAACTGTGGATGGGCTGTTTCAGGAACGAGTTTTTAACGCTGGAACTCCCGGATATGAAATGATAACATTAATGAGTAATGATATATGCGGAACATGTAACACAATATTATGTGATGATGAAATTATACAAAATCTCAGTGAGGGAATATGAAGGAATGAGACCAACTGAGAGACTAATATAACTGCGGAGATAATAATAAAACGAATCTCAGAGACGTAGGTTGTGTATTTTTCTGTATTATATAACAACTTATAATTTGTCATAGTAGATAATGGTAAAGAATAAACGGAAAATCAAATTTTTGGAAGCCTTAAATCCTTCATGAGAGTGGCAAGAACACTTAATATACGTAGGCTACATTATTTAAGTATCTTTTGTAAATTAAACATGCCCAGGCGATTCAAATCATTGAAGTTGTTTCATTTCATCTAAGGGTTGGTTTTCCAGGATTCTGTGTATCGATATCGCATAGAGTGCAGTTTTAATTTCCTGCGTTCTGCTTAACCAAACAGAAGAAAATACTTCAAAAATAAAATCCATGAGTAGGTGAATTCAAAAAAAAAAACACAAAGGT